TATATCTGTCTGTCTGTCTGTCTGTCTGTCTGTCTATCTATCTATCTGTGTATACGGTATATATTCTGGGAGTGCAAGCACAAAATGTAACTTTTAGTTCTGTGCAGTCCAGTGATGCAGCTGTTTTTACAGTAGGTACACACTTCGTTGTGCCATACTTTCACATCAACACAAAAACTGTGGAAACTGTAGTGGAAGTTTAGTGTTTAGCATTAAATATTGTAATTTCTGGATGAAGGAGAGTTGATGGTGTAATATGCACTGCTCTCCATGCCTTGTTTACTGAAACAAATGAAATTTCATCATCTGTTGTTTTTGAAACATTTAAAATTTATATGAAATTAAATTGCCACTGAAGCTGCAGTTGCTGTATCTGTAGCTGAATTGCTACTACATGAGATTTTTCTTGTGCTGCTCTTCAGTTTAGTGTGTAAGGTTCGTTCTGGGGTGATGGAGCTGTCCAAACCAGTCAACATCACTGTGGAGGTGCACGAGGGCAAGGTGGAGGGTCGCTACTCCATTGATGGGAGGGCAGAAATCCCTGGGTTCAAATTTGTGGTAATTTTTCCTAAATAAATGTTCATTACCACCTCACTTTCTAATAAAATACTTGTTTTATCGCTGTTTTTTTTTTTTTAAAGCTGTATTAGCAAATATGATTTTTTAAAACCAAAGTACCAATTTAATTTCCCTGTAGACACCCATCATCACAGATATCCAGCCCAACTATGGGCCTCGTGTCGGGGCCACGCTTATCACAGTGACTGGGCTTCACTTGGACGCTGGAAAGAACAGAAAAGTTACTCTTAATGATGTGCCCTGCCCTATCAAAAGGTGAACAAGTGCACTTTCTGTCTGCATGACACTTCGTTCTTTCAGGATTACACTTGACCTTTTATGTTCTGTCTAACCTCATTTGTTCATACGTGTTAGAAAAACATTCTAACTAGAGAAATTGCATTTTCTGAGAAAATGCAGTGTGAATGCTTTTTGCTGAAGGACGTACTGAAAAACAGCTGAAATTAGCTAAAACATGCTGAAATTTAGCTGAAATGGAAGAACAAGCCTAAGCTAGAGGGAGAAAAAATAAATAACACATATTTGGTGAATTAGATTTAAATAAGCAGAAATCAGTGAAAAAAATTGGGAAATTAGCTAACAAAGCTGAAATTAGAAAAAAAAAAATAGCTGAAAAGTAGCTGAAAAGGCAGAAAGAAACTTAAAGTACCAGAAAGACGTGGAAGAAGCTGAAATGAGCTAAAAAATGTGGAATTAGATGAAAAAGCTCAAATTAGTGCAAAACAGCTAAAAAAAAAGAAATAGCAGAAAAAGCAGAAACTAACAGAAAAAAGCTGAAAGGAGCATAGCAAGCTGAAATGAGCAGAAAGAAGCTAATTAGGCTGAAAGTAGCAGAAATTAACATGAAAAACTTGAATTTATCTGAAAACATCTGAAATGAGCTAAAAATACAAAAAATGTAGCTGAAAAGGTAGAACAAGCTTAAATTAGCAGAAGAAAGCAAAAATAACACATTTGCTGAAAGAAGCTGAAATGAGCAATAAAACAGTGAAAAGTAGCTAAAAAGGCATAAAGAAACTTAAATCTACCAGAAGGAAGTGGGGAGAGCACATTTTTGCTGAATTAGGCTAAAAATGTTTAAATGAATGCAAAAATTGTGGAATTAGCTGAAAAAGCTTAAATTAGCATAAAACAACTATATTGTAGCTGAAATAGTAAAAAAAGCTGAAACTCATAAATAAGCAGAAAAAAGCACAAGCTGAAATTAGCAGAAAGAAGTTAGAAGCACAAACATGTCGTAGTTAGCAGAAAGAATCTGAAAGGAGTACAAAGCAGCTGTAAAAATAATTGAAAGTAGCTGAAAAAAAGTTTAAATTTGCACAAAGAAGCTGAACCAGAATAAAATGTGAAAGGAGCAGTAAAAGATTGTAAACACATCTAAAGGTTTGAAGGATGTAAAATGAGCTCAAATTTATTTTCTATGAGAATAGAAATGGCAGAGAAGGCTAAATATTTCAAAAAGCTAAAGTTGCACCAATATCAAAAGTCATAGCAGGACTGTTCTGAAAGAGCTGAACGTTTTAATTTATGATTTGTTGAAATAGCTTGGAAACTGCGGGACGAGAATCGCACTGAAAACTGTATGGAATAAAAGAGGATCACAACAGTGTGAATGCTTTATAAACATACACACAATTACTTTGAATGACTGGTTGGGAACCTCCCAGCTCAGAGCTAAAAGGACTAACTCAGCTTTATATATATATATATATACATACACATACTTTGTACATATATATATATATTTTTTTTTTACAGTGGGTCTTACTGAATCTTCTAATCATACTTAAAGTTATCAGTGTTTCTTTAATTTACCCAAGTTCATTTATGTTCATCATGTTTCTGTCTCTCTGCAGGGTCACAAAGTCTGTCGGTAATGTTTCATCCATCATCTGTTTGTCCCAACCCATCTCAGAGGTGAGGGATGTCCCACTGAGCGTCTTCATCGACAAATCTTCTGTTCGTACCACAAAAGTTTTCTACTACAAAGAAAATCCGAAGGTTACGAATGTACTGCCCGACTGTAGCTTTGACAGGTAGGTCATGGTGCAGGGGATAATTTCATTCTTAGTGCCTGCTGTCACGATCGGGTGGTGGTTGAGACCCAAATGCAAGCAGGACTCCAATGAGGTCACAAAAAGGTGTTTTAATCACAAAAAAGGCAACAATAGCATTTAATGCTGTCGGGGCAGCGATACTACTAACAGTCATAGGAAATACGTGGAATACCAAGGCACTAAGAGACGACCGTGAAGGTGCAGTTTAACACCTGATGTTCCCCTGCCTGAGGTGCAGGAGAGCACAGTATATAAAGGAGAGTCTCTAATTAAACCCAATATGTAGCACATGAGAGTCATTAACTATCTGCACAGAGCAGGGCAGGTGCAGATCCTTACACCTGCTGCCATGAAACATAAGTGATCATGTAATTGTCAGGGATTGTGTGTGTGCGTTTGTGTATGTTGTCTGTATGTTATTAATGTATCATGGACGATTGGACGGATATTAATTAAACCATCACAAAGTAATTGCAAAAGTTGACTGGGGCAGGTTGACCTTGTCCCCTCAGTGGAGGATGCATGGTCATTGTTTAAACACGTTTTCCATACAGTGGTTGATAATCGTGCTCCGATAAAATGAATGTGAATAAAAATGTTTTAGTCCATGGTTCTCTCCTGACGTAGCAACTTTGTTGCAGACAAAGAATACTGCGTGGTGTAAGCATGGCAGTCGGGGTTGGAGAGTGATAAGCTTCTTTTTGCCAGATTCGACATATAGCAACACAAGCAGTGCGACAGTCGAAGTCTGCTTATTTTAGAGAGCAGTTTACACATAGTGCCTCTACTCCACAGTTATTTTGGAAAACAGCAAGATAGTTGGAAAATAAGCCCTCAATTTTGTCATCCTCTCTTTTAGTAGATGATACCGTAGTCAATGATAAAGAACGAATAGTTAATATTTTTAATGTACATTTCATAGGTTTCGGAGGTGTTCCAGAATCTACATCAACTAGTTTGAATCATCTGCACATGCCAACCCATCTGCTCACCACGGACTCATGTTCAGGCTGCTGTTGTTACACCATATTGTTTTGCATTTTTAGTGTTTAGCATATATCTTAGATCTTTTAGCGTACCGTTTGGCGTATAGTATTAGTGTTTATTGTAGTTCCTTATACAGTATACTGTTTCTTTTTACACTTTATATTGTTGCTGTTGTTAGGTGTAACTGGGACCGTGTGTACATAATTTTGTTCCACCTCATGTACCACATGTGGTGAGAATGGCAATAAAATTGACTTCAACTCGAACTTGAATAGTTCAGTAGTTGAACTTGAATAGCTCTTCAGCTTGGAACTTCAGTAAATTAGCTTGTGTATCCTCTGACACAGTCCAGTCTCAACCTAGCTTGTTCCCCTTTGCAAAAAAATTGTTTTCACTTAGTCACAGAGAACAAGGTCATGAGGGAATTGCTATCTTTAGACCCTAAAAAGCCTGCTGGACTGGACGAGCTACCGCCATTATTTTTTAAGTTGGCGGCTCTGTTTATTGTGGCCCCACTGGCTAGTATTTTTAACCTTTCTTTCTTTGCTGAAATTCATGCTGAGTGGAAGGCTGCTACTGTTTGCCCTCTCTTTAAGGGTGGGAGTCAGACCAGTGTTAATAGTTATAGGCTAATATCTATTCTACCTTGTGTGTCAAGGTTTTTGAAAAACTGGTGAATAAGCGCCTAACACATTATTTGAAGGTTTTTAATATTTTGTCCAGCACCCAATCTTGCTTTTGTCACCCAGTCTTCCTTTTGTTAAGGGCATGGTTGCATTATGGCCGCTCTGAAACTTCTCAATGATATAGCATCTGCATTGGACTCTAAACAGCATTGTGCAGCAATATTCATTGATTTAGCAAAAGCTTTTGACTCAGTTGATCATTCCATCTTACCAAAGAAACTTGACCGTATCAGAATTTTGGGACAGTCACTAACATGGTTCAAGTGAAGATTGACTCTCATACTTCACAATTTCTTCTGGTTATGTCAGGTATACCCCAAGGCTTCATTCTTGATCCAGCTCTTTTCTCCATATTTATAAATGATATCTCACACTCTGTTAGTGAGGCCTCCATCCATTTATATGCAGATGACACTATTCTATATGCTTTTGGGTGTACTCCAAATAAAGTTGTGAAGTCCCTTGCATGTGGTTTTCTTGAAATCCAGCAGGCATTCTCTGACTTAAATCTGTCCTTAAATGCCAAGAAAACTAAAATTATGTGGTTTGGTCATGGAAGGGGAAACATACCCACCTCTGTGGACTTCACAACTGTAAACGGTGATATTATAGAAGAGGTAACAGTTTTTAAATATTTGGGAATTTGAACTGATGGTGGGGCAGCGCGGTGGCGCAACTGGTCGAGCTGCTGCCTCTCAGCGAGCAGGTCCCCAGTTCAAATCCCGATCCAGAGGTTTTTCTGGGTGGAGTTTGCATGTTCTCTCCGTGCATGCGTGGGTTTCCTCCGGGTGCTCTGGTTTCCTCCCACAGACCAAAAACATGCATGTTAGGCTGATTGGTAACTCTAAATTGTCCTTAGGTGTGAGTGAGAGAGTGAATGGTTGTTTGTCTCGTTTGTCTCTATGTGTCCCTGTGATGGACTTGCGACCTGTCCAGGGTGTACCCCACCCCTCGCACAGTGATTGCTGGACATGGGCACCGGCGACCCCCATGACCCAAAATGGAAGAAGCGGGTTAAAGATAATGGATGGATGGAATTGATGGTGCTCTGTCCATTCACATCATGTTAATGTTTTGCAATCTAAGGTTAAAGTGAGACTGGGTTATCTATGTAGAAATCGATCTTAGTTTACATTGGCTGCAAAACAGACCATTGTTGAAAAAAACATTCTACCGCTGTTGGATTATGGAGACATAATTTATCAACATGCCTGTAAGGATGTCCTTTGTAAGCTGGACACAATTTATCACTCTGCTCTTTGCTTTGTTACAAATGCTCCTTATAATCATCATTGTCACCTCTACTCTTTTGTTAAATGGTAAATGGACTGCACTTATATAGAGCTTTTCTATCTTATTAAGATACTCAAAAGCACTTTACACTACAATCTGTGCCCTCATTTACTCGTTCATACAGCACTCTATTTCTATGCAAAAAAATAATCAGTGCTTTATCTCATTCATACACCAATGGGGCACAGATCGGAGGCAATGAAGGGTTCATTGTCTTGCCCAGGGACACTTGGGCATATGACTGCTGGTGGAATCGAACCCCCAACTCTTACATTAGAGGACGACTGCTCTAACCACTCAATCACAGCCTTTCTTTACATACTAAATTGTAAAATTAAATTCATTGGTTTACCTTCATTTATAAGACATTGCTGGGTTTGTCACCTCCGTATTTAACTAATCTACTGCAAATAGAACCGGTTTCGAAGTATAACACCCAATCCTCTCAGTATTTGTGGTTAACAACTCTAAAGAGTCTCACTTTGGCTCTGTGGCCTTTGCTGCTGCTGCTCCATCTGACTGGAATCTGCTTCAAAAAAGTTTAGGTTTGACCTACCTTGTCTCAGTTTCTAGTTTTAAAAATTGTTTAAAAGCTGTGTTAAAAGATATTTGCAAATGGTTTCATGCTTATTAATGTGATTAACTTTGACAATGAACTGTTGTTAATGTAATTTTTGAGTTCCTTGTTTATTATTGACTTCTATATACTTCGTTTTACCTAACTGTATTCACCACTTGCTCTTGTCGTGGGCGGATACCTTTCCCCTCCTCTCCTCTCCTTCGCTTTGCTGCTCTGTCCTGTCTGTGAAACTGCTTCTGAGCCTCTCTCTGCATATCTTCCAAACTGTAATTTTGCTATGGATCAGGTCAGTTGGTCTCTCAACGCAATTGATGAAATTTTTTCAATGACGAGACAAACTTCAGGCGAGCCAAACTGCCCCGACGACACGTATGCAGCTGGACATGTCTCTGGGGCAAGTGGAATGTGATGTGTCTACCTCTGCTGTCGACTGAGGATGTCGAGGATGCATATATAATTGGATTTATGATAAGCAGATTTCTTACTTTTTGGAATCGGCTGGTTCCTGGTTTATCAACATACAAAAAAGATGGCTGCAGCTAATTTGCCCCTGGTCAGGCTGCCACCTTATGTGAAGGTTTGTTCCATGTCTCGAGCACCCAGACTCAATTGTTTGGCAAACTGGACCGCAAATTGGATGTGATTTGTGAGAATCGTAGGCTTTTTACAGCCCCTAGGACTCGCTGACAGGATGGATCAGATCTCTGGGAATATTCTCAGGCACGGACCAGCGGCGTGTCCACTTAATTTGTATGTTTTGAAATCTATGTGAGACCAGCAAAGACTCAAGGCAGATATAAATCAGTAAAGTTTTGCCTGTCTCCAAAACAAATGTTGTTTATCTGAATTTGGCTCCCTCGGCTGGCCTTTCAGGCCACCTTATCTCAATTTGCCTGGAGGCTCTGTAAATCAGACGCTCTGCCCCCTCCCCTCTCACCGAGGATGTCTACGAACCAATCAGGGGAAACCGGCTGAATAAACATTGTGTCATTATTTCAGGACTCTTGGATTCTCACTGGTGCTGTCCTTGGCCATCCTCGACACCCCCGAGAATGTTTATGCATCTCACTAGAGGGAACTGGCTGATTATTCCATTCTTATCAGAACTCTTACAGTGCCTCCACGAGCGTCCTTGGACACGCTCACCACCCTTGTTGTCTCCCCCTCCTTTGCGGAATGTCTACGTCACCATGTGCTTATGTGGGCGGGGTGTTTTTTCAATTTCATGCTGTCGCCCATTTGCCATTGAGAGAGCATGTTAGGATTTTTTTTTGCCTCCAAATCCTGCATGTTGTTACTTTCACAACTTTTTTTGTCTGTCTAAACAGGTCTCACTTGTAAAAGAGTCTTCAAGGTTCAATGTGATTTATCTGTATAAATAAAGGTTTGAATGAATGTACTGTTTCCCTTCCCATGACCCTACAAGGACATGTTGGTTCTTGCCAGGTCAGCCCTATAAATGAGAATTTGTTCTTACTGTTTATTCATGGTTAAATAAAGGTGAAATGCAATGAAAAATGAATTGGATGTTCATCTACGACTGATAAACTTTTGGAGTCAGCCTGATTCAAGATGGCCACCACAACTAATTGACTTAAACTAACACAAATATTTGTAAAACTAAGCTATTTTTATAGATATTGAACTAAAATCTGTTGTGGTGGTTGCTGAGAGTCATCCCTAACATCTACTCTGCACCCTTGCTGATCACACATCTTTGTTTAAAACTCTGCCTTACAGTGCAGCGGGTGATATACAGTCTTTCAAGGAATGCTGCTTTTTAATCATTTCTGTCAAATTATAACAAAAAATTATGTTTGATCACAGAGGTTCAAGGATTGTGATTGAAGGGGAGAACCTGGATTCTGTTTACCGCACCATCATCCGCTTTAAGCCTAATGAGAGCCACCTAAAACCTGTGACCAGGGTACCAAAAATCAAGAAAATCCAGAACATTCACTTGATTTTCTCTTGGGATGATATGCTGACATTTTCTCATGGTGTTTTGCTTCAGGAGTGTATAGGCAAGTCTTTGCCAACAAGGATGGAGTGCATCACTCCGGTGTTCCAAAGAGACGAGACAGAGGAAGGACATCTGTCTTTTGACATGGATGGAGCAATGGGCCTTTGGAACAGAGATTTCACATATCATCCATACGGGGAGCCGATTCCTTTTGAAACAGAAGGACACGTTCTCAGTTTGTACCATGCTTTTGATGAAGTATCACTGCACGTAAGTTATTAGGTCATAATCTTTGCAAATGATTTAATTGTAAACTATTCATTTTAAATAACTTAAATCTTGATTTCTTGTTGACAGCATAAAAAGCTGAACCTGGTGAGCTCCTGTATGACTATCATCATGACGGTGGCAGATGTTGATTGTGATGCTAAAGTCCTGGATAATGAGATAACTTGCAGGATCCCTAAAAACATAACCATTCCCAGTGAGGGGTTGCCAGTCAAGGTTGGTCAGATTGGATGTTTAGAAGAAAATTAACTATTCACATGCACTTCACACTGTGAGGGCCTTCTTTCTGGCTACTTATTGGTAACAGTTCAAAAATGTATATACTGTAGTAGCTAATCTTTCTTTAGCTATTTTAGAATAAATACTGGCATGCTAACATTTTATTTTTGGTAGCAAAGTGTACAAAGTGGACCGAGTTGGGTACAATGAGGGCAGAGGTGGGCAACAAAATATTGTGCAAGACCTAAAAAACAGTTTTGCAAGTTGTAAACACAAAACCCAATTGTTTAAAATGTGACCTCAAAATGTGGTTTGCTAATTTCAGCAGCTAGAAATTTGCCAATTTTCCTGCTATTTTCTTTCAATTTTGAGTCCTCAACTAGTCTCCAAAAAACCAGCCCAGTGAGATAATACTTTGACACACAGGGCCTTAGCTTTAATTGTAGCATGCTTTTACACAACAGAAACTGTCTTACATAGTGTTTAGTAGAGTATAATGCTCACTGTAAAAAGACAGATAATAAAACATATACATTATCATATTATCACGTTGTCTTGTTCACCATCCTCCAGATCTCCATCAATGGGCAGGTTCACAATGTTGGCACAGTGGTCAGGGTCAACAACCACTACATGGTGGGAATTGTACTGGGGATCCTGGCAGCTCTGGTGGCCGGGGCCGTGTTGGCCTTTGTTGTTATGAAACATTTGCGAAAGCAAAAAAAAGGTGAGCCTGTTTTTTGGACCTTGGTCTGACCTGTTGACTTAACTGCTGCCAAGTATGGTTTAGAAATAGTCTTTCAACTTGAACATCTCGGTCAGATGTACATGTCCACTTCCTTTTTGTGGGGTTGATGATTAAGAAGGAGTTGTGAAATGTCTTTCAGCCTCCATGTTAGAGGCACGTTTAACCCACAGTCCAGTACGCTCTGGTCCAAACGCTGCCGAGCTGTCTCCTGTTGGAGATTACCGAAGAGGTGACTAGAACTCAAATTAATCTCCACCTCATTGTCAAAGTTGAATAATTGTGTGTTTCTGGGATTTTACAAGGGGTATCCCTGAGTCCTCCCACCCCCGTCGTGGGGCGAGTGGTGTTTCCACGTTTGGTCTATCCTGTAGGCGCCATAGATCCAACCCTCACTCCCCTCTTGCCAGCAGAAAAGATTTCCATCTCCAGCTTTAGACCTGAGTTACTGGAGGAAGTGAAGGACGTTCTTATTCCTGCTGAGATGCTTGTAGTGCAGCACCATCGGATCATAGGGAAAGGTACTGAAAGCAAACCGTGTGTCTAATAAAAAAAAACAAACAAAAAAAAAAACGTGTATCTTCATTATTTGTCGTCGTTTTTCCTGCAGGGCATTTTGGAACAGTCTATCACGGCTACTTAACGGACTCCAGCAGCAGAGAAATCCACTGCGCCGTCAAGTCTTTAAATAGTTACGTTTTTGTCCTTACGTGCTGATCTGAATGTTTTTGAAAAACATCAGAAAAGCTGTAGATCAACTTTCCAGAGTTTTTAACTTGTCCTGTGAATACTTTTAAAGATGAACTTTGTTTTGCAAAGCCTTTCAGAGCCCCGATTCTACTACCCGGTTTAAATACCTTTATGTTTTTAATGTGTGTGCCATCAGGAATAACAGATGTTGAGGAGGTGGAGCAGTTTCTGAAGGAAGGCATCATAATGAAGGGTTTCCACCACAGCAATGTGTTGTCTCTGCTGGGCATCCTGCTGCCTCAGGAAGGCCTCCCCCTAGTGGTGCTGCCGTACATGAAGCACGGGGACCTGCGACACTTCATACGCTGCGAGAAGAGGGTGGGATAAAACAATCATCTCATCTTTTATTTTACACACCAGCATCTGTTAAAAAAAGTTCAAATGAATGCAGGATTTGTGTATTGTTTTTGCTTTAGAACCCCACTGTGAAGGATCTCATTGGCTTTGGGCTCCAGGTTGCCAAAGGGATGGAGTACTTGGCTCAGAAGAAGTTTGTGCACAGAGATCTTGCTGCACGTAACTGCATGTGAGTCACCAAGATATGAGGAATAACAACTCCTTTGCTTCTGACTATACTGTACATTAGGAGAATATCAGTTGGTGCCAGTTTGGTCGACATCATCTCACTTTTTCTGTCCTTAGGTTGGATGAGTCTTATACGGTGAAAGTGGCGGATTTTGGCATGGCCAGAGATGTTTTTGATAAGGAATATTACAGCATTCAGGACCATCGCAAAGCTAAACTGCCCGTCAAGTGGATGGCCATCGAGAGTTTGCAAACACAGAAATTTACTACCAAATCAGATGTGGTGTGTATTTGTATGAAAAAACAATTATCACAGCTTTAAAAGTCTTTATGCTAACCCTAAAAAATTAAATCCTAAAGGAATGTCTCTTGATAAACTGTTCTGACAGTTTAAAGTGATAATTCATATCTTTTAAAGTTGAGTTCTGTAGAAAGGTTTTGAAAAGTAATATCCTACCTGTTGTAGATAGCTTGTTAAACCACCTCACTGTAGAGAAATAGAATTTAATTCTGACCAGTGTGACTAGCAAAGGGCTAGTTCCAAGATCAAAGTAGACTGCTGCAGTCTTCAAATTACAGTCTCAAAAATGTCATAGCAAGCATAATTTTATAAACATTTACATCACCATCAGTTTTGCAGTAAATTAATATTTACAGAACTCTGTGGTTATGTGCAAATACAAATGTAAAAAGCAGCAACTAAGACTTTCAGTGTAGCCTGAGGCACTTTCAGCAGGAATAAACTTTTATTGCAAACCTGACGGTGGTGTAAAGGTTTTTAAAGTAACATTTTCATGAACTAGGCAATTTTTGAGGTTTGAGTTGTTTTAAGACATCAGTCCACTTTGGTCTGGGTTAGGGTTAGACTGGGTCCAGTTTAGACTGATTATTTTTCAAACGTAGGCTGGTCACAAAGTTATCCAATATCATTATCAAGAGCCCACATTTTTGTTTTGATTGTAACTTTATGCACATGTGGAGTACACATCTTGAAAATAAATTGAAGTACTTCAAAATCTTAGAAAGAAAAGGATAGAGCATATTCAGACAGTGATGTAGTTCATTGGATGGCTATATTTATTTTTTCTTGGAAGAGGAGGTGTTGTATTTTGTGATGTCAAAGGGCTCTTCTGTTAGTTTCGTGAAAACTATAGCGACTCCTCCTCATAATGTTTGAGTCTCAGAAACTGAGTGTGCTTTGATACAAAGAATGGATTTGTCATCGCTGCCCACTGCAACTAGCAGCTGGGTAATTAGGACAGTAGATGCATTTGTGGATAATAGTTTTCACCGAAAATACTGTTTGTCATTTTACTCAACATGCTCCAGTACAAGCGAGACAAAGGGCAGCTATGAGCTTGATGGCCATAGATCTAATATATTATGTAGGGCCTACTCATCAAATTAATATTTAAAGTGATCAAATTATAAACAAATGAAAATACAGCTTTTAAAAATTGCAGGACGTGAAAATGATCTGAAGCTTCCCACAATTTTTATGAGTCACTGGTGCCTTTATGCCAAATATCTCTGCCTGTCAGGGACAGGTTTTTCGATTCTTAATAAGCCAGACACAGGAGTGCAAAAATTAACAACAGTTTTTAATAGTCTGCTGGTTGCTGGAGCCAGGGTCCAAGGCAGGAGTCCAGTCTTAAAATACAGAGGTTAGGGACTTTGGAGAGGGCGAGGGGATACTGTGATTATAGTAAAAGTCACTAACCTTCTTACTCTGTACGTGGTCGGTGAAATCCAGAGGCGTGGTCCGATGGTCGTAGCAGGGGTCAAGCAGAGAAGCAAGAACAGGGCTGAGTCGTGATCCAAAAGAGTAGTAAAAGGGAAAGCAAGAGACGTTACCGTGGTCAGATATGCAGACAAATCCAAAAATGGGCAAGGCGTCAAAACCAGGCGAGGGTTCAAGATAAGACACGAATACAAGATACTATGAAGGCTTCACTATCAGGGGCCATGAGTGGTGTAATAATTCAGCACTGGTGGAGAGGGAAAATGGTGCTTAAATAGAGACATGAACAGGTGGGAGGCATGAAGGTTGATTGCGGTGATTCAGCTGAGGGGGTGTGGTGACAGAGAAGTGCCATGAACAGACTTGAAGTACAGATTGACAGGAGCTGATGTGAACAATGACAGGAGCTGAGGGATAAACAAAGCATGAAGGAGAGGGGCAGAAAACATGGCATGACATGAAGGGGCAGGGAAGTGAACAGATGGGAGGCCAGCGGGGGCTGCTGATCATGACACTGCCTGCTTAGTTTTTGCTCTTTTGTCTTAAAATCATTTACAAATTATCATCTGAATTTATAACAAGCCTTTGCGTACACCTATGCACACAACAGCTTATCATTATTTTGTTTGTTCCATTTGTCAAATCTGTATGTTTCACCTCCAGTACACTATTGGGTTATTTTACACACCAGTGAGAAGCCAAGACAGCACAGCATGTTCTTGTTCATGTCACTCTTTTATGGGTGTGTTGTTCATAACCGTTCCACAGCAACTCGAATCAAAGTCTCTGGACCATCTCTTTAAAGCTCTCTAATGAACTTGAGTACCTGTACATACATCTGAACATGTGTGCTGATGTCAAACTTTGACTCCTCCTGGTGCAGTGGTCCTTTGGTGTACTGATGTGGGAGATGCTGACCAGAGGAGCGAGTCCTTACCCAGAGGTGGACCCGTATGATGTAACCCATTACTTAATGCAGGGCAGGAGGCTTCCCCAGCCACAGTACTGCCCTGACCCACTGTAAGTAGCAGGATTTTGCTTCCATAGTCGTTTAGAAACAAGAAGTTCTTGTACAGCAATAGAGCTGAGCACAAAGTCTCAACTGGAAAAAAACAAGATGTTCAAACAATCACCCAGGTGTAGTAAATTGTCCACTAAACTCTGCTCCAGCATGGTTATACATCATTTTAAAGTTAATAAGTACACCAAAAACATGCTTTGAGGAGCCATGCTTCTTTCACCACCACACTTTTAAACTTAGTGATTCACACTGATTCAAAAATTGGACTGTTTTTATGATGTACTCCTGAAACTGTAAACTTTTTTTTCTCATTTTAAGTAAATAAACCATTCTGTGTATTTAGTCCACAGAGGCATTGTAATACATCGAGAATGGGTTGAGGGCTTAAAGATAAATGTCACTGAAGTAAATTAAGTGCTGTAGTATTCTTAGTTTATAAAAGTTGGAACAACATTTGAAAAAAGTTTATACAAATTATGCATGGGGAATCAAAACATGAATATTCAATAACTGGCTGTAACTGAAACAGTTTGGGTAGTGGCCCATTGTTAGGGTGAAATAAGGGAGTGTTTCCTTAATCTACTTCATACAGCAAGCATCATTGGAAAAAAGATTCTGTCAATCAATGCTCAAACTCATTTGGCTCACAGAATGAGGATTCTTGGGCGGACATCTCCAACTTGACCTTTCTTATTCCATTGCTCTATAACCAGCTACCTGCTGGCTAGGTTCTGTGATTGTTTTACTCTCCATGTAGCTCAAAAACAAGCTTCAACATATTCAAGCTGGTTTGTTCATTCTTTAGTAAAATGATATGTAGATGTGGTTGATGTAAAGTGTTTTTTAGTTTATATGCAAATGTCCTTATTTATTGCTTCTTATCCCTCCGTTGGGGTTTCCCCAGGTATCGCATCATGCTCCAGTGCTGGGACCCTGATCCAGAACTTAGACCCACCTTTGCCACGCTGGTGTTGGCGGTCTCCACCATCCTGTCGAGCCTGGAGGGAGAGCACTACATTAGTCTGAATGTCACCTACGTTAACCTGGACCAACCACGGCCGTACCCTGCCCTAACTGAGTCCGCTGATGAGTATGACTCCACCGATGTTGAAGACTCAGGCTCAGACTCTTCCTGACGCAGCAGAAGTTTTCAGCAACTCTTTGAGAACATGAACATGATAATAAGAAGCTGCTGATTGGAAAATCTGAAAGCCTAGTTGTTGGAAAAATGATCTTGTTCACTAATGTTTAGTCAAAAGAACCATAACTCATAACAGGTGAAGATTTTTAACTGGCTTTTTTACTTGTAAGGGCTGCATTCAGGACAGGTTTTATGTACATAGATACATATGCATGCAATGTCCAGAATGGAACCTTGACCAGTGTCCTATGCTGACTTTTGTAACATTAGCCGTTCGTGGAGCTCAATGGAGCTCAGTGGAGTTCAGTGGGCGTTGCTTGAAGCCAACTGCAGTCCCACCTCACAAAAAACACTCTTTGTCTGCGCAAATATGATTTATGGGCATCAGAGTCGGCCTCTAGTCCGAGGTCAAAGAGTGTTTTGGGAAAGAGCTGAGCAACACCTTCTCATGATAGGAGGGAAAAATGTTCTCGTCCACAAACGTAAAACACAATAAAACATTCATAAATCTGACCAAAAATTATTATTACTAAGAGTAGTTTACATAAAACATAAAAAATTTAATTTTAAACAATTTAAATGATTACAGTAAGTACTTTTAAAGACAGTATTGCTCAAACAATATCTTCAAGTGAACATTTTCTTTTACCTTAAAAGAATCAGGATTAATGAGAGCAGGATGCTCATGTTAAAGTCTTTTTAAAATAGTTAAATCTCCTTCTCCATCTTTTACCACTTATCTGTAGTCGTCGTAGACAACAGGTCCAGGAAAGAAACCTAGGCATCCCACTCCTCAGCTATACTTTTCAGCTCATTCTGGGGGACCCCGATGCATTCCCAGGCCAGAGAAGATAACTCTTTGTCCAACAACTTCAGGGTCTTCCCTGGGGCCTCCTAGTGGGACATGCCCAAAAAAACCTCTAAAGGGAGGTGTCCAGGAGGCATCCTAATCAGATGCTCAAACCACCTCAACTGACTTTTTCGTTGTGGAGGAGCAGCAACACTAGCCCATTTCTGCTGCTTGTATCCAAGATCTCATTCTTTTGGTCCTGATCTTAACCTCATGTTTATAGGTGAGGGTTGGAACATACAGTGACTGAGAGCTTTGCATTTTGACTCAGCTCTTTCTTCACCACGACTGACCAAAACAACACCCTCATTACTGAGGACAAGATCCCAATCGGTGAATCCATCTCCCTCTCCATTTTACCATCACTTGTGAACAAGACGCCCAGACATTTGAACTATTCCACCTGAGGCAAAATCTCCCCCACACCCTGACCCAGAGGAAACATTCCACCCATTTCCAGTCGAGAACCATGGCCTCAGAGGAAATGACTCATTCCAGCCAATTACACTCGGCTGCAAACTTCCCCAGTACACGCTGAAGATCTAGGCCTGAAGACATCAACTAAACAACATAATCTGCATAAAGCAGAGGAACCTATTTGGGAACCCTGAGGTTCCCAAAATAGACACCCTTCTTTGCGTCCCAGGATTCTGTACATTAAGACCACAAACAGGATTAGAGAGAAGGGGCAGAGTCCAACCCTCACTGAGAACGAGTTCAATTTCGTACCAAGAATGTGTATATAGCTCCTGCTTTGGTTATATGGGGACTGGATAGACCTTAAAAACAACCCAGGCACCCCATTCTCCTGCATCACCCCACACAGGGTGCTTTGATGAACAGTCATAAGTCTTCTCCAGATCCACAGAACACATGTGGACTGGAGAAGCAAACTCTCACGACCTCCTTAGCAATTCGGCAAGGGTGAAGGTTTGGTCCATTGCTCCATGACCAGGATGGAAGCCACACTTCTCCTCCTGAATCTTAGGTTCGACAATTGGTCAGAGCCTCCCTTCCAACATCCTGGAGTAAACTTTCCCAGGGAGGGTGAGAAATGTGATCCCACAATAGTTGAAACACACCCTTCGGTCCCCCTTTTAAAAATGGGAACCACCACCTCTGTCTGGCACTCCAGAGCTGTTGTCCCAGTGTCAAGGTTTATCAGGCAGGAACGAACCCAATAGATGCAGGCAGGGACTCGTACTCAAAAGATACAAAAATAAATACTTTTAATGATAATAAATTAAATAGCTGACGTGGCAACACACTTACAAAACTGGGAATACAACTCAGGTCAGGACTGGTACACATCAGATCAGGACAAGACAGGGTAGACCCAACAACGACGCGACAATGAACAAGACCAACAGACAGACTATATACCCAGACAAGACAGGATGTGATTACAAACAGCTGGCACGAGACAAGGGTGAAGTTAATTTGATAAATGATGAGACACACAAGGGAGTACAGACAAGGAAGGCCCACAGATGGCACCATCCTTACAGTATCCCCCCTCAAGGACGGCCCCTAGCGTCCCCCAAAAAAGACCCCCCCCCCCCTCAAAAAAAAAAAAAAGACTTGGGTGGGCGGAGGGAGGAACTGCAAGGATGGAGGGCCCAATGAACCAGGAGGACAGACAAAATGACGAAACCAAAACCTGGGAACACAACTAAACACAAATAGGTACACACAAAAAAAAGAATAGTCTGAGTGGTCAGGTGACTGTCCTCGCAAGGTCATGGTTCTGGCGGGCGGCCGGAAGGCTGTCCATCAAACCGGAATGGGGCAGGAGGGCAGCTAGGAGGGCGGCCAGGAGGGTGACCATTAGACCGAAGCAGGTCGGGCGGGCGGCCGGGAGGGCGACCATCAGACCGAAGCAGGTTGGGCGGGCGGCCGGGAGGCTGACCATAGGACTGAAGTAGGTCGGGCGGGCGGTCGGGAGGCCGACCATCAGACTGGAGCAGGAACCGGACAGACAGGAGGCCGGGACACCATTCATCGGGCTGGGGCCAGTCAAGCAGGCGGCCGAGAGATCGTCCATCGGGCCATTCTTCAGGCAGGACAGACAGGAGGCCGGGACACCATTCATCGGGCCATTCTTCGGGCAGGTCGAAGCCGAAGATCTCAGGCGAATCGAGGCCAAAGATCTCAGGCAAATTGAGGCCACAGATCTCAGGCGAATCGAGGCCAAAGATCTCAGGAGAGCCAGGGACAAAGACCTCAAATGGACCAGGGGCAAAGACCTCTGCGGAAGGACCAGGAGTGAGGGCCTCAGCAGGCGGGTCAGCGGCAAGAAACTCAGCAGCGAGGAGCTCTTCTGCGTTTGAATCTTCGGCGGCAGGATCTTCGGCGGCAGGATCTGGAGCAGGAGCGGAGTCCGTCTGGACCCCCACGGCTGAGCAGACAGGAGCGGAGTCCGTCTGGACCCCCACAGCTGAGCAGACAGGAGCGGAGTCCGCCTGGACCCCCACGGCTGAGCAGACAGGAGCAAAGTCCGCCTGGACCCCCACGGCTGAGCAGACAGGAGCGGAGTCCGCCTGGACCCCCACGGCTGATCAGACAGGAGAGGAGTCCGCCTGGACCCCCTCGGAGCAGGAGACGTGAGGAGAGGAGTCCGCCTGGACCCCCTCGGAGCAGGAGACGTGAGGAGAGGAGTCTGCCTGGACCCCCTCGGAGCAGGAGACGTGAGGAGTGGAGTCCGCCTGGACCCCCTCAGAGCAGGAGACGTGAGGAGCGGAGTCTGCCTGGACCCCCTCGGAGCAGGAGATGTGAGGAGCGGAGTCCGCCTGGACCCCCTCGGAGCAGGAGATGTGAGGAGCGGAGTCCGTTTGGACCCCCTCGGAGCAGGAGACGTGAGGAGTGGAGTTCCCCTTTGACCGCCTCGGAGCAGGAGACATGAGGAGCATCCGCCAGGACCCCCTCGGAGCAGGAGAATTGAGGAGCATCTGCCAGGACCCCCTCGGAACAGGAGAAGTGTGGGATCCACCACGGGGGCTACGTGCAGCGTGGGATCCACCTCGGGGGCTGCGTGCAGCGTGGGATCCACCACGGGGCTGCGTGAAGTGTGGGATCTACCTTGGGGGCTGCATGCAGCAACAGGATCTGGAGTAGATGTGTCTGTGGGCTCAGGACAGGTTTGGTCCTCACACACGTCGATGATGCAGAGGCTGCAAGAGATGGAAAAACTTTGGGAACTGTAGTAGGCATGGGAGCGACCACAGGGGCTACAGCTGCGAGGACCTCAGGAGCCAGGAGCAGGAACCGAGGAATCGCTGGGGGTGTAGCTGGAGGCTCAGAGTCTCTAAAAGGATCCCACAGCTTGTCTTCCAGGGACAGAGCAGTGAGAGTCGGGCTGCCTGCTGGGTCTTGGTTTGGTCTGGTCATTCTGTGATGATTTCTAGGCAGGAGACCCATTTGGTGCAGGCAGACAGGCAGAACTCAAGGAATATAAATAAATAATTTATTCTTTACAAAATAAAGACGGCTGACGGGGCAGCAAACTTACATAAATCATGGGACAATACGCAGGATACGAGGAGCAGGATACAAGGAGCAGGACACAAGGAGCATAACAGGCATCACAGTGACACAATGACCAGACAATGAGGGACGCAGGAAAACAGACTTAAATACACATACTAACGAGACTAACACAGAACACCTGTGAAACATCACAGGTGCAAACATCAGAGGTGGAGCAGACAAATATAGAACACTAGAGGGAGACAGAGACCAGGGAAAGCACAACTCCTACACCCAGTCCTCTATGCAACACTGAAGTGCCGTGTCAACTATGACAACCCCACAAATTATCCAGAGCCTTCATCATCTTGGGGTGAATCTTGTTCAACCCTGGCACTCTTCCACCAAGGAACATTTTAATTACCTTGGCGACCTCTGCCATAGTAATGGACACTTTTTCCCCCCGAGACCTCAGACACTACCTCCTCAAAGGTGGACATGATGGGTGAATTGAGGAGCTCCTCAAAGTGCTCCTTCCACTGCTCAACAATCTTCAGTCAGGGTAAGCAATTCCCCACCCAAACCAAGCACAGCTTGAGAAAGGTTCTGCTTTCCTTCGCTGTGTTGCCAAATGATTTGTAAGAAATTTCTTGAGGTCGACCAAAGGTCCTTCATGGCCT